ATGATATATAGTGTAAACTAAGTCCAAGGTTAAGTAGTCAATCACCGGTAATAATAAATGAAATATATACAATCCTAACTATTACACTCATTAGCACTAGGTTATTAATCTGCGTCTGTTTGTGATTTATCAACAATCGGAAATCACAAACTAACATGGAATCAAACCCAAGGTCTTTTGTCAAACATGGTACGTTACAATCATCACCTCCAAATCCAGTAGTCTTTATTTTCAATTAAACTTCCAGGATTATACGACTTCATTTTATCACATCAGTGATTATCTGTTGACTTGGTTAACTCTATAAATATCTGTAATTAGTAGCCTTATATATATATATACATTGATTCGTTTACACGGAAACATTATTGTTTTGTCAAAACTTATTATGGTTACTATTCTTTGCTACAATTATTTTGATTAAGATTGATCACTTGTCCATTTTCTTGTCTTACAACAGAAATCCTATTACTTTGTCCCTTTTTCTTCTCAAAGTTTGACGTTTATGGTTTTTCAATCAGAATTCGTATTTCTTCTATGCTCTTCCATTGATTTTTATGTCTTATTAATTAATTGACAAGAATTTTTCGATATTTCGAATACAATTAATTTCTATATTCTTATGTGTACGTATGTACGAAATGTCTATTTGACAAATGATAGGGAGTTAATAGTTGATTAATAATAATAATAATAATAATAATAATAATAATAATGTGTATTATTATTACTACAAATGTATGTAGGCTATTCAATATGAACTGTTCGATTATGTGCTTAGTTGTTTTCTCTATAACAAAGCTAATAAAAAGAATTATATGTCAAATAACTTTAAATTTCTGAAGTCTATTGGCAAATGAACATGATTTGTAGTAATGTAAATTGAATGACTAAAAGTAAGAGATAGAGAAATAGGACAGGAGTACTTAAGAAAAAATCCATTACGACTTAACCTTTGTACAGTAATTAAAAGTTGACAATGTTAACGTTGAAATTATTTATTAACAGGTCAGTCATAACCGGAATAGATCAATGTTAATGTCTTAGACTATAGAGTCCTACAGAGAACACCAGTTTCCCCGTGATTACAAGTACCTCTAGCTTAAGAGTACGAATTAGGACAAAACATAGGTCGAATAGTATTTCCTATCGACCATTTCCAAAAGACCAAATTAATGCTGAATATTTATACCAATCATTCATAGGGTAGTAAACAATGTCCAGTACTTTGATGATGATAAATTCCTATCAATCAAATTATTTTATCTCTATTAGGGTTAATGTATAAACATTTCAGTCGCATGGTAAAATCAGTGGAGACAATGATTGATATTGGCTCAAATCCTACAGGAAATAGCAGTTCACTTAAGAGTTGAAATAAATCTTACTGCTTAATACCACTTAGCAGAAATATCAGAGTCATCGATTATCAAAAATCTTCACTAATAATTCATATATTAGACTGTGTTTTATTATCTAAACGAGTTTTTAATGATGATAACGCATTTTAGAGTATTGGTTAGTTGCATTATTTTTGCATAAAAATCTTTAAAATAAATTAATAGAACCTTTTAAAGTTAAATAGGTTTATGAAAAGTAATTTTAATGATAAACATGATATAAAACTAGTCAAAACATTAATAATATTAAGTCAGTCAGTTATTTACTTAAAATTTGAAAATAATTCATAAAGTCAGCGTTAAAATAAATCTGACATCTGAATACGTTTATGATGTAGAAACCTTCACATACCTGAGAAGCATCATCGATGAACAAGGAGGCTCAGATGCAGACGTAAATGCGAGGATTGGCAAAGCAAGGACAGCATTACTACAATTAAAGAACATGTGAAACTCAAAACAACTTTCAACCAATATCAAAGTGAGAATCTTCAATACGAATGTCAAGGCAGTTCTACTGTACGGAGCTGAAACTTGAGGAACTACTACAACCATCATGAAGAAGGTGCAAGTATTTATAAATAGCTGTCTACGCAAGATACTCAACATCGATTGGCCGGATACCATCAGCAACAGCCTTCTGTGGGAGAGAACAAACCAGCTTCCAGCTGAAGAGGAGATTAGGAAAAGACGATGGAAATGGATAGGACATACATTACGCAAATCATCAAACTACATCACGGAGCAAGCCCTAACTTGGAACCCTGAAGGGAAGCGGGAAAGAGGAAGGCCAAAGAACACATTACGTCGAGAAATAGAATCAGATACCAGGTACCAGGCAGTTGTTAAAAGATTAAGTTTTAGGGAGTGAAATAGAAATTTATGGGTCCGATCCCATGTGGTGAAGTCAGAGATGTACACTGCTGAGGAGTGCCATACTAGGGTGAAACGTCGCCCAGTGCTTCCAGACTTCCAGTGGTGGTCTACCTAGGATGATGTCATGATTTAAATTACGGAAGTTAATCTTACTGAAACCATATAATAATAATTTGTTTCAGTGCTCAAACTGTTTTTAAAAAATTAAGATTTTTTGTTGTCACGGCAGCAAATGAAATGTATGTTGAAAACATGCTAGTCAAGTGTGAAAATATATAGACACCTAATTCTCACCTCACATTTGATCATTAAAAAATTCAATGGGGCATGATCAAAATAAAGGAAAATTCCACTTCTTTTTTCGATAATGTTACTTCAAGTTTCTATGGAAATATCTAATGAATAAAAGTGTGATTATGAAGTTTAATGATGGTTACCACTAGATGTAATTTAGTCAACCATATTCCTAATGAAGTTTTGAAGAAAAAGATAGTTTGAAATAATCCTTACTATCTTCCTTTTCACAAAACCTACATCATATGATATGTGCTTTTTTATACATTCGAAATGATTAAAATTGGAAATTTGAATAACTGAATGCGCTGACGTAGTGGTTTTATGGTATCTTAAATGTCCTTGATTCTATTTCGTGAAAGGTCATGAGTGTACTCTGTGAAGAAAGTTCCAAAATAAACATTAAGTCTTTCATGTTTGTTTCAACTATGTTCCAGCTGACATCAGATTATAACAGTAATTATCTTCAAACTGATCTTTATGAACCATTCAATTAAATATTTAAAAATAGTAGTTAAGTTTCATTTTTTAACTAACATGGTACATTTTTATCCTTCATATCGTATCAGGTGTTATGGAACTTTGGATTTTGGCTAACTGACTCCTTGACATTATTTTCATCTCGGAGATCCATCGGTCCTATCTAATTCAATGAATATTTAGTTATAAATGGGGATTTTTAATAAGTCAAAATGTACGAAGAAAGAACTATCTAAAAGTTGTGAATCAGATGTTTGGACCATTGTAACAAACTGGTAGATACCTGTCAGTTAATAATTCTGAAAATTTACTCTCCATTGATACACTAATTATGAATTGGCACCTGATTAAATTGTGATACACAGTATTTATGCCATTTAATTCGAAATACTTCATCTGAACAATGACTACACTCAGGTGAACATTAGGAGATCCCTTTCATAACTCGGGAAGCATTCCTCAAACAAGCCTAAATTTATAGATGCGATACCCTAACTTTTTTCAGCCACCTAGTAGTCCAACGTAGTGCAGGTGATATCGAGTTGATCAACTTTGTACCAAAAACTGGAACTTGATCAACAGAATTCTGTTTTTAGAAATAAAGTACCAGACAGACATAAGATTAGCTACTAATCAATGATCAGTCAATTATACCGTAGAATGGTGTTTAATGTTTTATAAAAAAAATACAAAAACACACGAGGACTGTGGTCTTTCTTCTCTATTGTTATCTTCTAAATATGTAGTTGATGATAAGTGAAATATTTTTAAGAATTCTTTTCCGTTTACGATCCTTGAGTTTATGTTGAAAATCGTCAACCATATAAGCTGAAGTAGGTGTTCTTTTAACTTCCATCATATATTATAATCATAGAAAGTTAGACTAGAAAATAAATATCACTTAGCCCTGACGTTAATGTTCAAACTCGTTACCATCCCGTAAGAAATTTATGTCTGAGCATTTTTTCATATAACTTGGAAAAACGTTTGAACTAATGAAGTGATTTTGAATAATCAGGTATATATTTAAAATAATCCCATACCGTAAAACAATCCGTTGTTTTCTGCCTATCCACTCATAAATTGATAGTGAAGAGTTTAAGTTTTCAATGTCAACCACTTTACCACTTATCCCCTGTCTTAACTTTTCTAGACTATAACAGGAAATATCCCCTTGAATTAATACTATTCAGGAGTAAGTGATTAATTCACTTCATTGAATCAGTGTGACAACTAGATATTAAATTGTCTGCCCCCTGTAGAAACAAATACATTAAGCCATATGTCATGACCTTGCGTACTTGAGACACGTTCACACCCGCCCCCTTGAAGATTAGTTAAAGCGTATGATATTCAGTTTGTTGTATGATAGCCCACCCACTCATTTATTGCCATACGTGCCATGCTTCACATACGGACGCACCAATCTCGTCGAATGACATATGAGCTGCCGCATGTGTCATGTGACAGTTGTAGGGTGCCAATCGGAGTAAGGCAGGTTTGATAGACAGGGTGACAGCAATGTATATCTCAACCCTAGGCAGTGAGCGCGAAAACACACATATGCGGACAAGTTTTATCTCCCCCACAAATGTTTCATACATGTGAGATAAACAGTGGTGCGTCAAACTATTATTTGCTCAATACTAGTGAATTATTATATCTCACCCCCTAACTTTATCATATGTGTAGCTTCTGACGCTATTTGACACGTCGTCAGAATGCCACTATCAAAGAAACATGAAATTTGTAGTCCATCCATTTTTATATTCATTGATTTGGAAAACGGATGAAATGCGAACATATTAAAAATTCACAAATTTCCTGATTATTTATTTATTATCTAATAAAAAACCGTACAATTGTGTCACCGTAGATTAATAGAACAATTCTAATTCCTAGGTGAAAAATTATCTATACGGAGAAAAAATAACAGCAACAGAAATAAATATGGGTCTTCTCCCATTACTTGATGCATCCGATGTACTAGTCCTACATTGTCCATTATGTTATTTCCACACACATTGGTTAAATCATCTAGAAATTCACTTCAATCACGAGCATTCAAATGAAAATGTGGATTTTATGTTATATCAATGCTCCAAGTGTCGAAAAATTGCTTCATGTAAAACATTCCTCTATGAACATATTGATATTTGTCACAAAAGATCTGGTAAGTCTACCATCCAATCGTCTAGAACTCAGTCACCAAATAATACACTATCAGATCATGAAAGTTTTAATATTCAACAGCAAAATTCACAAACCATTGAACAGTGTAACAATAACCATAATGCATCAATAGATATTATTGGTCCTAATGGGATTATTAATAATAATAGTTGTTTAACTACTAATCCGAGTCATGATGAAAAACAAATTACCGAGGATATTAACAGTGATGAAAGTGAGACCGTCAATAAAAGTGATGTTAGTGATAATAATAATGATGATAATAATATTAATAATGCTAACAAGAGTGACACTGATGAGTTTACTAACCACAATACTCCTATTATTAGTGATAGTAATGAAAATAATGAGAAAGAAGAACCAGTCCCTAATGATACTAAAAATCAATCTCCATATATTAAAATTTTATTTGTAGGCCAGTTATGTGGTAGTAATTCAGCATTGTCACCATCAACCCTATCCACGACTGGTACAATATCAGCAAGTACCATCACCCCTACCGCTGCCACAACAACACTTCTACCATCAACATCTTTATGTGAAACATTTACAAAATCCAAACATAATTCATTACATCACTCACAAAAATTGCATAATTATCACTATTTGAGTTCAATTAAACATCAATGTTTATTTTGTGATTACACTAGTTCGGATTCTACTAAATTAGCTGAACATTATGTACAACATGGAATAAGACAGTTACAATTACCAAATACCGTGCATAAATTTAAAAAATTACATAGGATTCAAGCAAAATCTGATGATAATAATAATAATAATATATCAACGAATCCTTTAACAGTTATGGACGAATTGACTAAAGTAAGTAATTTGAATAGTTGTCAGTATTTCTTATTTGTCATTACTGTTAATATCATTGCCAATAGTAGAAGTAATAGTGATCAATGGCTATAAACGTCAGATGAAATAACACAGCGTTGATCATACTGAAACAGATTGGTTCACTCTTCATCCTCGTCAGAATCTTCGCCTCCGGTGTTCTTTCATATAGACCTTATCATTCCGTTGTTTTTTTTATTGAATCATATTTTCAATATTTTGTTTTCTCATTATTATGGATATTAAGATAAATTTTAGTCCTTTATCATTTTTCGAGTTGATTTTATCTCGTCTTGTTAACGTAGCATAATAACTTAGGCTAATATACATTTATTCCTGACTCTATGCTGATTTTGAAATAATGACTAACTGAATGATTAGTTTTATTTTATTGTAGAAAATTACATGGATTGTGTTGTTATAAGATAGTTATACGGTAAATGCACTATTTTGGAGTACAAATTTAGTTAAAGAATAAATTCGACCGCAATTATCATCCGTTTTATCACTAAAGGAATTTTTAAAAAATAAAGGTATACTTACTCCTCACATACACGACTCACTCAAACCCACTAGATCGAACACATCGCGAATATATGGTTTACCTAAAGTTCACAAGACAGATCTTCCTCTTCGCCCAGTTTTAGATATGTATAATTCACCTTATCATAAAACTGCAAAGTGGCTAGTTCGAATTCTATATCATGATATAGACAAATAACTACGTTTACCATATTTTAACAGTGAATTATTATTGAAAATATGATCTTGAAATGTAATTGAAATCATTCAAGTATTATTTATTATCATTATTATTTATTATCATTATTATTAAAATGATTTTATATAGTGGATAGTCAACAGTTTCACTAAAATTAACAATATTCATTGTGGACACAAAAGTTGAAAAGTAATATAATAAGTAAAATGATAATTGAAAACATTGGGTATGATACATGATAAAGCCTATGATGTGGACTATACAGTGAAATTATAATAAATTGATATAAAATAGAGTTCTAGTGCTTCCTAATCTTCACTGGATTGGTTATCATTTGAATGTTGTATATGAGAGAAGCTTTAGTAAATGTTCTTAAACAATTTTCACCATGTACATCACTTACAGAATCATTAGGAACACAGGATGAAATGTTTCGTCTTAGTTTAAAATTAGTTATCAGTGCATACATACATAGGTTATGAGAAGATTATAAACACTTAAAGTCGAGAAGTTTAAGAACTTTTTAACTAATATCAGTCTACAGTAAAAAATACCCTTACATTTTCATTTCTGTTATTATTATCATTATTATTGACGAACGCCTAAAAGGGAACGGCAAATACCTATCTTCTCTATTTTACTCATCACTTCAACTCAATTACATACCTGTTTGATACTCGTAGATAGTAATCATTTGAATTGTGTACATATCTACACATAATACGAGGTTTTTTGCTTTTAATGGTCTTTGGAAATAACAAATAAAACTGAAATGCTTACGATTGATTACTATTAAATATTTTGGATCATATTCATATATAAATGTATGATTTCTGCATTCATTATGACAAATATATTTTCCTCTTCTTTGTGTCATTATAATTAACCATGTAATTTAACTAGTCATATGTTACTAGTCTCGGTTACTTCACCAAATAATCAATGGTAATTTTAAATATTAAAGTAGAAAGTATAAAAGTATTCCTCTTCTGTAAAAGATTTAATCTAAGTATTTTAATTATTCTACTCAATATTATATATATACAGTATATATTAACCGATATATTATTCAATGGTTGAATTCATGAGTCCATTGAATCTGGACCACCATGGAAAACCTGTAAACACTGAAAGAACGTTTTGTCCTAGAATGGGACTCAGCAGACTTATGAATATCAACAAAACCCCTCTCTGATTACAATCATCATATGTTTACTAGTGACGGTCTCCAAGATGTATTTCATGGAGTTCTAGTGAAAAGCCGTGACCAGTGGAGTTCAACCAGGTCTGCTGTGAGATAGTAACTCATTGAATACAATGGTTTACGGTGGCGCTATTTCGTAGATTGGTTGAAGTTAGAAATTAACATCGTTGAATGCCAGCTCAGTGGTCTGGAGGTTAAGTGTTCACGAGTGCGACCGATAGGTCCTGGGTTCGAATCCCGCGAGGCGGAATCGAAGATGCGCACCGCTGAAGAGCCCCACAGTCGGACGGAACGGTCGTCCAGTGCTTCGAGGTTTTCCATTGTGTCCATGAATTCAACCATCAAATTAATATAATTTCATAAATTCCAACTCATCTAAAGATATTATAATATTCATTAGGAGATAATTTTATGATGTGAGTTCAATACTCAATAATATTTGTTATGAAAAAGCATTTTAGGCTAGAATAAAAACATGTTCACAGTATTTCTCAACTAATTATACTTTCTTACTTCTTAATGATTAATGGTTAAAGTCGGAAAATGATTATTATTATTTTCTAAAATCCACTAGTTACTGTATTCATAATAAAAAATAATTAATATAAGTTACTGTAATTTCATGTTATATTAAGGCTTTTTGTTATTGTTGATTGGTATAAGCATTCGAAAAGTTCCACTTGTAAATAATGACTATAATCGATCTAAGTAAACAATAGTCATATATTTTCATTAATAAATGGAATCAATAAATTGTGATTGTAGTAGTCTTACTATTAATGAATGTAATGAATGATCATGTTGATGTATCACACATTTAACTGATGTATAAAATATGGTCTACTAAATTTACAACTGATGATTTAACTGTAACATTTTCGAAGAAAAAAGATTTGAATATCACCTTTTAGAAGTAATTGATATCTATTTACTTTGTTTTGTCTAATTGTTCAAAGATTGTTCTCTTACTTGGAGATTCACTTATCAACTTAGAACACACATAGACAATATAATCTTATTTATTGAAGATAATGGGATAATGAAGTCTTCGTATCACGATGAAGAACAATATAAGCATGTTTAAAATGCTTCTCTCTCTCTCTCTGCATGTCATTTTGGTATATGGAGGCTACCTAGTTAGGGTCTGTGTAATAACCGGAATTAGTGGTTGAAAATATAAAGTGACATGGCTCAGAATCGATCAGGTCCTTCGTGTACATCTCATTCTTCGCTCTCAAAACATACTATCACTTTCTAGTCTTCTTATTTTAATTACTATTGTATTGATTCAATTTTTTACTACTCATCTTATCAGTTTCATGTATGTGTGCTGATATGGCATAGCAGCATATATTAACGCACATATTTACTGAATCTACGTTGATTATAATTAATTAACTGAATAGTTATTTCATTCCTAGACCAAAACTTCTCATAATTTTTCGGTAATAGCTTCTTATACTCAACCTTGTGTATATGGCATTGACTATGAATCAGTGCAGTCTTAAAGAATAAAGTCAGAAGGCAGAAGAACAATGTCAGGTAACACAGTCTAATAGTAGCCGTTGGAAAGACTAGGTTCATATGTTATACTGTTCATTCTAGAATGTAATCATGAGGATTATACAGTTCAATAGCTGATAATTACAGCTGTTAATAACACCAGTGTAATTCGCTGATTTATTCTTTACGTATATGAAGCAAACCTTTCTAACTGAAAGACGTTTTTCTGGTTTCCAATTTTAACTGTAATATAACTTTTTAGGGGAATACTATCCATCTTTATTTATTTGTTGATTGAGTAACATTACCTTCTATTTCTTCAAAATGTTATCATTTCATTGTATGGGTTACAGTTATACTTTTTTATGTTGATCTCTCATGTCAGCATTTTTATGTGGATTATAAACTGTATTGTTAAGGTTCAATTCTTCTGTGTTTGGTAATTTAGTTAAATTTGTCTTAAAATACTATTAAAGGGTTTGTTCTTACTTCAGAAAAAGAATTAGTTCCAGGGTATATATTTTCATCATTAATTTCTGAGTATTCAATGTAAAAAGATCATCCAAGTGTTAGATTGTTGAGCAAATCTACACGAAATATGTTATACACTAAATAAAAAAAATCCTATTTCCCTGTTGTAATGTATACGTACGTGTATAAAGAGAGAAACCAAATATCACTTGATATTTTAAACATTTCACCAAATATCTACTCATTCTTTACTAAAGCCAATGCTGAGTAAAAGAAACAACTTACCATATATTGCTTTTTTTCATACCAAATATGAGGCTTCGAAGAAGTTTTGAATAGAATCTTCCTCCATTCAATACATTTTGAAACATTTCAGAAAATCTAATATCAAAGTAACTGGAAGAAGAATGGTCTGAGTAAATTACTACTCCTTGTATAATCGTTTCTGTGTTATTTCTTCCTACTTCATATAATACTAAATCATTTAATTTTACAATCATGATACTTTAAAACTAATTTAGTGATGAAACATGATTGACAATGATTAGTAACCAGTGGTCCCTTAAATAATGTTCATTACTGAAGAGAGTATAACTTGTAACAAACAAAGTCCTAATTCATTTTATACTAGCTGTTTGAATCTTCCTATTGATGTTTAAGACTGCAATTGATTAATCTCTTATTAGCATATGTGCATTGTGTGCGGATTGCTTCGGTATTGCCTTAAATCACAAGCATTATAAACAGAAATGGATGGACATCAACTCTGGGACGTAGGTACATCCAGCTAACGAGTCCCAAATAGGACAAAACACGCGTCCTGGATTGAACTGTTAGCCACCATCTAACTCTGCTAATAAAACTAATGTCTACTTTAAATACTCCTATATATCACATCAATCATCACACCATATAGAAACATTATAAATACTACTCTATCATTAAAACTGAATGATTGGCATCTATAGGTCAACTGTTGTAGATTCAATTATTTAATCACTAAACGCCTATCCCAATAACATACTTAATACAATTTTCAAAGTTCATAACTATTGTCAGTTGTTTATATGTATTTATTCATAT